TTATAAGGTGATTCATGCAATTTCTTCCTGGTTGGCAGCCAATCACAATCATCAAACGAAGATGATTGGACGAAATTAGGTACTCAAGTAAAAAATACCTTTAACATTTATTAATAATATTTGCATTCGTTGACAATCCATGTAGTCTCATACTAGTAATTATAATGACTTCTAAATTGAATATCATGTAGTTAGTACGCTTTATAAAGATTACTATTAAGAGGTTCTGAGAATTTCGGTGGTCAAATCTGTCATAAGTACATTATTCAAGTCAAACACCTGAGCGGAATTTACATTTAGGGCCTGTCTGACAACCTGAAATATTACAATATTCTGCCCTAAAACGCCATTTTGGGGCCGAATTCAACAAATCTGATCAAATTGAAACATGTCTTGCTTGAAGAGTTTTAACCCAAATCCAATAATTCCAAGTGGGATTTACTCCTTGAGGTGGCCCAAAACGCCATATTACAAAATGGACCTTTTACCACCATTTTAAAAAATGGCATTTTTCGTTTATCCCATTTTGCCAAAAAGTGGAATATTATTTTTGAAAAGTTACCAATCGGGCCCTTACATAGGAAATTTACAGAATTGAAAATTATTATTACATCGAAATAGGAAATTACACTACTGTACTGTACAGTATCACCCAGACCGGGTCACCTGTACGTACTGTCTGGTGTTTCGGGGTTGCGATGGGTATTGTGTAAGTATGATTATAATTGATAGATAATTAACCAATGACATCACTTATGTGGTCAGCCCAAACAACGAAGAAATTACAGCGTTGCTTACAGTTACAGATAACGACGGAATAAGTGGCCCTGTGGTACTAAAATTTCGTATTGATTTAAGTATTCTACTTTTCGAAGTAGTTTGTCCCAATACAAATTTGAAGTGCTATTTCGAAGTACCACATGGCCACTTATTCCGACGTTATCTGTAGCTGGTACAAAAGTCGCTCCAGTTAGGCCGGTGTGGGGAGGTCAACCACCCATGGAGCGTTGGCGGGTTGGCGGCACAGTGTGGTGGAGGACGCGTTCACAAACGTGGTGGTCCCGACTATCGTTTGGCCATATCCTTCTCGTACGCGGCCGAACACATGCAGTTTGGGGCGACTTGTCGTCAGAATTTGCTTGAGCAGTGCTTCGCTTCCGATGTGGATGCCGTCCACAGTCTGTTTGTCGAGGATGCCGAATGGAGGGATGTGGGTCACCACGACATCGGTATGTGTCGGAATGGCTTGGGACGATGTAGAAGCACATCCAAAGACGGAAATGCCATCGATGGAGACGCTCGAATCCGCCAGGTAGTCGCCGTGGGAGAGGACCTTGGACCAGTCGATTGGGTGCACATTGTCGTGGTGGCCAGCAACGACAAGCTTTCGTCGATAAGGCTGAGAGCCCAGCCATGCATTGAACCTACGTGACATAAGGCCTAGAAGGCTAGGTGTCTTGCACCTTTCAACTTCGTCGACTGTGCCGAGACGAGTAAAGTTGCCGGCATGGATGAGGACGTCGCCTGGCGGAAGCTTCACATGTTCATGCTTCCCATATGTGTCCGAGATGCACACGAAGCGAATAGTGTTGGGTGCTTGGACCTTGATGTGTGGTTGTGGGGACAGGATGCCACAGGCACTGACGAGACGGCGAAGCAGCGAGTACCCTACGAATCCAAACACAAGCAGCGCAATGGGGGAGCTGTACATGGAGATCACGTAGCATGCACTCCCAAGAAGGATGCTGACGACGGATGCGAGTGCCAGGAAGACTTGAAGCGGGCTCAGGGTCCCTCCAATGGCATCTGCGACGTCTGCTACCAACTTCTCCATGTAAGTTCGTTGTGGACTCGAAATATAGAATCCTGGAGGATTTCTTGAAATCCTCAAATTATCCGGAATATTTCACGATCCACCAACACGGCGTAACTGTGTACGGTTACATATAGGTCCACCAACCTAGTGGCAATCAAAGCAGTGGTTTGTATATGCGTCCAATGCATGATGAGTACTTGTAGTTCTGACGTTGTTGAGATGCAGTCAAGCAATTCCGTGCATGATTTGAGCTTTGTGCTTCCATCGATATGGGGTGGTGATTGCCGAGTTTGACCCCAGCATTGACAACACATCTGCACACACAACACGTTTCACCAAAGTCTTGATGTAGTAGCCCTCGAAGTTGAGAACCAAGATTGACGACCTATCTTAGACAAAGATATGCGACAAGACCTCAAGCTACGTATCCTAGTCTTATTACTGTACTGGCCGAGAACCGCAGAGGCCCCGATAGGGATCACTCCGTTTCATAAACGGCAAAGATCTTGGACGAGATGCACTATGAATACGCCACGAACAGTGTAAACCCCCTCGCAAGATTAGCCAAACAACACGAGCACTAAACGTAACAACCAATATGCGGAGTTCTAAGGCGTATTACATATACCCCGCGGTCGATTGTTGACTTTTTAATGCGATGCTAGCGTGGCTCGACCGATGATCCCCAAGCGAAGCATCATTGAACTGGTAGTTGTTTAGCGATGCAATCATTAGACAGTGGAGTGCAGGCTGAAGCTGTAAAGTAACAGAAAGTGCTGTCCGCGCTGTTTTCATGTTCATATACTGTGTACTGTATACTACAGTAGTATACAATATTGAAGTTTTTGTAGATTATGTTATATCAGTATACTATCCGTGTTCGACGAACCTCAACCAATGTTAAAGGCCGAAAATATACTTGTATAAGGTATATTTGTCAGGTCAGCCGTATCCGGATGACCCATGAAAGGTGACATTGCGATTAAAGGTGTCGTTCGCACCAACTTATCCTCAGATAGAGACTCACTCCCATCTTGGTGCATCATGTAGACTGGTTCAAGACACCTTTAGTCCACCCCCTTCATCCTTCTGCCTTTCGAGTAAAAGTGCATGAAGACATGAGAGTGAAGGCGAAGTCTCATATAGGGTAATTATATTGATAGTGGGAGGAATATGCGCCTTTCTACGACGATGCTCGACATCACAGGATAGATGATTCCGACATTTTGAACCCTCCAAATACACTTGTGAGGCTAAAACAGTCGACGTAGAGGCGTCCTAAACGTACATGAGTAGTAAAATACACCAGGCCATGGGATTTGAAGTGTTCGCATTGAGTACTGCTGGACTAGTTGGTCCTGACTGGGACACGTGCATGTAAAATTAAACTTAATCTTTGTATACTGTATCTACCCCCCGTCTGAACTTCTACCATTCAGTGTTCAAAAGTTTAAAGCCCGATACAGAACGCAAGGTTATTTTGTGCTTGGGCCAAAGTATGCAGGGTTTAGCTTCGAACCAAATGCGGCGGGAGTTATCCGGCGACGGTGTATACAAAGAGCAAGACTAAACACGCTGGTAGGGAGGTTATCCGGACCGCCTTATTTCCTGTTACTTATCAGGAAACCCCATTTGGAGTTATCTCAAGCCTAAGGACGAGGAGGTGAGCGAGCTCTTGGCTGGAATCACGTCCCCTTCAAAGCAGGTACGGTGATGAGTGTGCATGAGGACACAAGGTATCTCTCGAGGTCACGCGAGAGATGCGTGTCCACGGCGACGTCGGCGCATGTGGCTCATGTGGTTGTTTGCTACTGTAGAGTCCAGAGGCAATCGAACGGCGGAACAGCCAACTCACATGGACAAGACATTCGTGGAAGAAGAATTCATGATGGCAGGTATGGGGGGAACGAATGGAAGCAACTCGAACATGTTCGGCGCTTTCTCGATGCCTCCGAACAATGGAATGGGCAATGGCGGCGGCCTCAACATGCCGATGAACATGGGTGCCATGCAAAGCATGATGTACATGGGAGTTCCTCAGATGGCGTCGATGTACAATCCGTCCGCGTCGAACTCGGTGGACGAATTGGGGTCGGCCGCCATCGAGTTCCCGCCCGAATTGGGCGGCGATCCCCCAAAGTTGACGGCGTCGTCGTCGTTGAACAGCGGCGGCGCCATGGATCCTTCCGCGATGATGGGCATGAACTCGATGATGGCGACCGGTATGAATCCGCACATGTACTTGAACCCGGGAATGCAGCAGATGCAGTACAACCCCATGTTCGGCGGGTACCCTCCGCAGAACCTCAACATGATGCAGCAGCAGCACCAGATGATGCAGCAGCAGCAATATTTACAGTTCATGCAGCAAAACATGATCAACATGAACAACAACCAGCAAGGAGGCAACAACTCGAACCCCGGCACGTCGACCTCGAACAACAACATGATGGCGAACCCGACTCCGCAAGCAACGCCGCCGCCGCCCGCGGCGCCTCCGTCCGCCAGTTCTGGAGCAACGACCAATGCAGGTGGGAGCTGGCGGTCCCCGTCGGACGACCCGCAGCGCAAAGACGTGATCGGGCGCATCATCCGATTCCTTCAGATGCAGAAGCCAAACGCGCCGCCCGACTGGATACGGCGGTTGCCGCAGATGGCGCGCAAGCTCGAAGAGGCACTGTACCGTAAAGCGAGCTCCAAGCCCGAGTACAACGACATGAATACGCTGCAGCAGCGGCTCCATGTCGTAGCGCAGGAGTTCAAGAACAAAGACTGGCGGTCTGCCGACGACAACGGCATCCGGCAGGACCTGATCCACCGCATCGTGATGCTTCTGCGGGCTCAGAACCCCAACGCCACGCCCGACTGGATCAACCGCCTGCCGCATATGGCCAAGAAGCTCGAAGAAATGTTGTACCAGAAGGCCACAAGCAAGGCCGAGTACACGGACAACGCGCGGCTCAAGGAGCGGCTGCAGGTCGTGGCCACGGAAATCCACAAGAATAACCAGAAGAAGGCCGCCAAGGTGCCGCCAGACGCGCCGACTACGGCATCAGCGTTGAAGATGGAGGCGCTGGGTATGCCGGCGGAGCTGCGCCATCCATTCCTCGACATTGCGCGGGCCATCGCATCCTACTTGACGCCGCGCACGATCACAGAGTACAACCATAAAGTGCTCACGATGATCCAGAACATTGGGCAGCACCGCGTGGTATTGATGCGGCAGCAGCAGCGACTGATGCAGCTCAAGCATGCGTGTGAGTGCCACGCCGACAAGTGCGCGCACCCAGCGTGCGCCGAGATGAAACCCCTCTGGGCGCATATCCAGACGTGTCCGGAGAGCGAAAACTGCGCGACGCCGCACTGCGTCAGCTCCAAGTACGTTCTGGCGCACTACCAGCAGTGTATGAAGAGCACGTGCGTCGTGTGTGCTTCGCTGAACCAGCCACCGCCACCTCAACAGCAGCAGCAGCAGCAGCTGAACCATTTGCAGCAGCAGCAGCAGCAGCAAATGCTCCAGCACCACCACCAGCTCCAGCAGTTCAAGCAGCAGCAGCAGCAGCAGCACCAGGCAGTCCTCGCCCAGCAAAACCAGCCGCTTCAGATGCCCAGGGAACTCAAAGACGAACTTCAAGTGTCACCGTTTGCCTCGCACGCTAAACTCATCAGCAGCACGTTACCGGAAAACATCATTCGCGACTACCATCAAAAGGTAGACTTTATGATGAACGACTCGTCGCAGGCGCAGCACCAGTCGATTCTGCACCGGCAGCAGCAGCGCCTGCTAGAGCTGCGCCACGCGAGCGAGTGCAAAGCCGACAAGTGCGCGCACCCAGCGTGCGCCGAGATGAAGCCCCTCTGGACGCACGTGGTCACATGCAGGCAAGCCGACACGTGTCCGACGCCGCACTGCGTGAGCTCCAAGTACGTTCTGGCGCACTACCAGCACTGTATGAAACCCCACTGCGTCGTGTGTCTTCCCCTGCGCGATGTAAAGAAGACGGATGGCGGCGGCGGTGGTACGGCCGACAAGATCCGGCAGTTTACAGACAAAGCCAAGGGCGCCGCGAATATGCTCACGACGCGGCAGATCCAGGACTACCACGCCAAAGTGCTCGGGATGATGCACGTCAAGTGCGTGGCGCAGAACCAGACGATCCTCGAGCGGCAGCAGCAGCGGCTTCTCCATCTCCGCCATGCGCTGTTTTGCCCCGCAGACAAGTGCGCGGCCGCCTACTGCGCCGAGATGAAGAAGCTGTGGAGCCATGTCATGGGCTGCAAAAAGTCAGAGTCGTGTGCGTACGCGCACTGCTTGAGCTCCAAGTACGTGCTATCGCATTTCCAGCAGTGTACCAACCCCGCATGTGTCGTGTGTGCGCTGGTGCGGGATGCGCACGAGATGGAAAAGGCCATGGCCGAGGATGCACGGGCTAATATGGACAAGAAGGACCAGCCGTTAGCGCCTGCAAATCAGCCGGTGAAACGAGGGCTTGAGAGTACCGAAACCAATCAACAACCGCCAAGCAAGAAGCAAGCACTTGCGGTGCCATCACCTCCAGAGTCATGTGGCACCAGAAGTGCCAAAGCAGACAACTCGCAGCAGCAACATTCGATGATCGCGTGTCCGCCGGAACTGCTCAAGGATGAACCGGATGTGTTAAAGGACGACGAGTTTGCGTTCATGCAAGATATTGACGAAGAGCTCGGGGGCGAAGTGTTGGAGTTTGACGAGTGGTAGGACGTAAGAACACACATAAATATAGTACAAAACCATACAAAGATATATATATATTAGTATGTCAAATACTACGTCAAAGAATTGTGCTTTCGAGTGAAATTTCATTGTGTTGTGGTTTCTCGTTGGAATTTAAATCGATTTGATTGGCTACCTCAGATGAGCTCAAAATTATTAGCCAATCAAAACCTTCTCAATGAAATTTAACCAATCAGAGCGATTGTGTGGATGAGTTTGGTAGGCGCGATTCGATTGCACCCCTTCCCCAAATTTGTATCAAATCGACAATAGTAGTAACAAAGAAATACTATCGTTGGTCAAGAGGCCAAGTATAGTACAAAACCATACTTCGTACTACTGCGTACTAGTATGGTGCATTTCAACTAAAGACTACAAAAAAATGCCTTGTCTTTCGACAGCTATTCCAACTTTGTATTGATATTTTTTAGGAAAATAAGCCGTAATAACGATAGAACTGGTCAAGGCCAACAGAAGTTACGGTTCAAAATTTCGATTGGTGAAAAATTGATCGAGTAATAGAATTTAAACCAACCAGCCTTTTTGTATGGAAATATATGGAGCCAGGCACATTTTGGCCGAAATGGAGCATCAAGTATATCTTGGACTTTGTATACAACACTTATCCGTATGAACGTTTCCATTGTATCCGGATTATTCAGAATGTTTAACCTATTTACCAGATAAAACACGTAAGTAAAAATAATTTAACGCCAACATTACGGGGGTTTAACTGAAATAACCGAGGCGTTTAATAGTAAAACGTCTCCTCCTGAGGATGGCCAATCTGTAGTCTTTAGACGAAATGCACCATATTATTATATTAATACACAGACCTTGCCCGTGAATATATCAATGCAGGTTCAAAATTTGAGCAAAAACGGACAAAAATCTCCTGCGCGTCGCCCAAACATACAGTAGTACAATTTCTACTACTATTAATCGTAAGGAGTAGTATTTATATACTATTAATACTATTAATACTAGTAGTACTATAATACTTACTATATACTGTACTACTGTACCGGTAGTACTCTATCCAAGAAGAATTGTCACATATCTCAAGGACGTGTGAAAAAATCAAATGTTTATGAATGTACGATTCTGATTGGTGCTAATCGTAGATTTTAATTCAGGTTATATTTCTCCCGGTAGACTTTTTAACTGAAAATACTCGATATCGTTCGAAAAATAAGGGGGGTGACAAACTTGTTTACCACAGATTTTAGGAATCAAAGACCCACCAGCCTCATAAAATCAAAGTTATCATCGTTAAAACCGTACATTCGTGTTGCTCTTGACTTGGTGTTTACAATGATAGCAGCCAAGCACCCTACAGCTCGCATAGGCGGTGGAATTTCACCCGCAACGGAATATCGTGAGTTCAAATATGAATTTGAATGGGGAAACTTTTGTCACGTTAAGTGAAGGATAGCTACCAACCGTGAACAGCGTAATTACGAACAAATATGTGGATCTGAGAACACCAGCTCGTTTTCCTGAATTATCCATGTGGTGAGACATGCTCATACTTTAATCAAGTCACAAGAGAAAAAGATAATGTGACCATTCTTGTTGTACAGAGTAGTATTGTCCTTTTACCCAAAATGCCAAACCTGACTTTTGTATGTAAAACTCGTCCGATGTCACGCTAATTCCAGTCACACACTAATTTGACGTTCAAATGGTGGAAGAGTGTATTTGATTGGCCACTTGGTTTGTGTTCTGGGTTTTGATTGGTCAATCGATTGTCTGCCGATTTTCGTTCGATGAGCACCGCACTCCAATTTCGAATCCACTTGACAATATTAGTTTGTCAAATACTACTAATATACTACTAGTGTTACGTAGTAGTATATTAGTTTGTCAAATATATTAACAGAGCTACACCCCCGTGAAGCGCAGCCGCGGCAGAATCTCGGCGGCAACCGGGAACAACACGGAGGACGGCACGACTTGGGCCGGAGTGCGCGCACTTGAGTACTTCAATTGGACAATGGGCGCCCCATAAGTGCTTTCGACGCGGATCCCGTGCAAGTGCGTTTCGATGAGCAGCACTTTTGCGCCCGGTTCGACGCTGACGTTATCAATGTACAGGTGGCACCCAATAGTGTCAAACTGAAACAGTTCGGTGAAGGTACCCAGCAGAAACCCCGTCCATTCGATTTTGGGAGTGTCGACGGACGTCAAGTTCACGACGGGGTCGACGCGCCTGAGTTCGGGCGCAAAGGTGGTCGTGTTGGCAAAGTACTTGGCCACTAAACCAGCCGATTGGGGCTCCATGAGCAGCGTCGTGACTTCAAATAACCCGCGAGAAGGGAGGGTCAAGAGCACGAGGTAGGTGCCGTCGAGGGCGTCGATGACATCGGCCGTCCCCCCGCCTGACAGTGTCACACACAAGTGGTCCCCTCCGATTCCGACGGGGTTGCTGTAGGCATCATATAGTACTATCGTAAACGACTGGGTGTCGGTGAAAGGAACGACAGAGGCACCTATGGCACCCGAGAGCTGGCTAGTGGAGGCGCTGGCGACGTTGGGTCGAATGAGCAATGGCTCAGAGCTCACTCGAGTGTACGAGAGCGAAGCCCCCACTTGGAGCTTGATCGAGTACGTGCCAGCTAATATGGGTATATACGAGACTGTGACGGCGTTCGAGTCAAATGTCCAGGTCGTGACTACTGACGTGGCAGCGTCTTGAATGAGCACCACCACGAGATTCGACGGAGGCGGAGCTAGGATGACATTGGAAAACGCATCGCGCAAAATCATCGTAAACGTCTGCGGCACCCCCGCGACGCCCGCCAGCAGCCCCGCGCCAGTGAAAACAGTCGACTCCAACGCCAGCGCCGCTGGAGCCACGACGATCGGGAACGGATTTAAGCCAAGAGTTTGCAAACAATTCTGCTCACAGTCCAAGGAGCCAACGCTGAGGGTGAGACTGAGGTTTCCACTGGAAAAGCACACAATTCGAATAGAATACGTGCCGTTGCGGTGGTCTTGGCTATCCTGGACGGTGAAGCGGATGGGATTAACTGGGTTAAACCCAGTGATTAGAGCGTGGAGTGAGTCCCCGCCTTGGGTTCGCTGGTTTCCGTACAAGTCTTTGGCCAGCACTGTGAGCACGACAGCCGTCCCTGCAACCCACGGAGAAGTTGGTGGAAGCAGCAGCTCAAAGTTGGCAGCGTACGAGGCACTGGGATAAACTGCAAACGTCGGCGTGAGCGAGGTCACGCGCCAGATGGAGTAGATGGCCGAGGTGGGAAGTTCCTGCTCGGGCTGGGACAAACTCATCCACGTGAGATTGTACTTGGTTGGGCCGGCGTCAGTTGGTTTCGAGAGCCAAATCTCAACGTAATTCATGTCGAAGGCGGTCAGGGACGTGGAAAAGGAGGTTCTGCCCGCCTTGGACAGGTTTGCCACTTGGGAAGTATTCAGCATCATGCGCACTTGGCAGCCAGATGCGGACACGTTGAACGTATACAATTCCGAGTACAAGGCCGAGATGTACCCTTGCCACAACACGCTAAACGTGCGCATGGTGTCCGTAAACGGAGGGAGTTTGAGGCCGTAGTTGGCGCCCAGGGGCATCGAGGTCTGGAACAGCACCGTGGGGCCGGTCCAGTCCCTCGTTTTAAAGACACTGACGTTGCCGCCCCCAGGTAAAAAGATCTGTGGCTGAAACGGGTAGATCGTGGCGGTCGTGGGGGTGACGGCGACGGTATACGAGGTCGCAGTGGCGACTACGACCGTCGAAATGACTGGCGGACTCAGGGCGAACCGATACATCTGGTTTACAGGGTTGCCATACATATCTCTGGGCTCAATCTTGGCCAGTAAACGTGACCCAGCGACGAAAGGCGGAGGGGTTGAGATGTACGCCGTCGTGTGGCCAATGTCGGCGGCCACGGGGTAGATTGTGATGGTGAATGGACTGTTGACGATGTTCTGACCGCTGCTGGTTTGGATGCTAAGCAGGTACGTGCCAGCTTGGAACACCTGGTACGACAGTTCGTACAGCCCACTGGTCACATATACTAGTACGACCGACGTGTTAGTGGCTAGTGTGCCATTGACAAGCAGAATTTGGCCAATCAGATGGTCTGAAGCCATGCGATGATTGCCAAAGATGTCGTTGGCCTGGACATTCACCCGGGTCACTTGACCCGCGAACGACACGACCAGCCCCGACCCAGTCGCTACGCAAGTGGAGGCGGCGATGGCGCCCGTGGTCACTGGAACGACGAACGGACTGTTCTTGATTGGTTTCGAGTTGACTGTCACGGATAATCCCATCCATGACGTGGCAACTGTGGGGACATACGTGCAGCTAAATTGTCCGTTGAGTACGTTCACGCAATATGAACTCGCCAGCGTCAAGTTGGATGTCACTAAAACGGTAGTGACAGTAGCAGGACTGGACGAGATGAGATTGCTGTTGACATCGCGCAACTGCAGCACAAATGTCGACGGTAACCCCGTGGTCGCAGCTACAAGTCCCGTGCCTAGGGTTACAAATATAAACATATAAACAAATAAATCACAAGAGTAGTATCGCTAGGATATATACCAGATACATAATGACATGATGGCCCGTACGGCTGGTTGGGCTGCACCGTAAGTATATAAGGACTCTGCGCCACATGCAGCTTATTCACGAGTATTTCTACGGCGTATACCCCGCTCAAACGAGGAGTATACGTTGCCGTATATGTTCCGTCCAAATGGTCGACCACGACGCCCAAATCCACGACAGCCGACGGCGTACTCACTGCTCGAACCTGCAAAAAACTCTAAGATAATCCTACTATATATATGGAAATAGTGTACGGAGAAGTGCCCGCCGCCTTGGGTCATTGCATTTCCATACAAATCTCTGGCGGCGATCGTAAGGGTGGCAGGGGATGCGGCCGTGACGACCCCCAGACCCGATCCAAATACGTCGGAACGTGGGCCTGTGACAGGCGACGGTGCAATTACGACGTCGATGGGGAATCCAGTGACGTGAACCTGGTTCAAAGTGAGCTGTAATGAGTATAACCCGGCGATATAAGGCTGGGCCAGGCCCATCATGCGCTGCGAGGTACGGTCGTAGGTCAAGGTTACGTCGACGTGGGCCTGGTTCAGAATCAGTTCGCTCCGAAAGGCCGCTTCCCCCTGTCGCATGTTGCCTTGACTGTCGAGTGACACGAACGAGAACGAGTAGTCTTGGCCGGCGACGCCCGAGAGATTCCCTTGAAAGAGCACTTTTGGCACAGCTTCCGACGGCACGATCGTCACGTTCGCCGTGGCTGCGACGGTGGCCACGTACGAATTCTGGACCGTCTCAAGGGGAAAGGACTGGCTCTGCCACTGCAAATGCAGCCGCGAGGACGACGATATCCCATGGCGATACTCTAATATAAGGGCATAAAACTGGTCTTGATGGAGTAGCACTGCGCCTAAAGTTTGGGACTCCAACGCTACCCACGCATCAATCACGAGTTCGTCTAACGAGTAGTTAATAGTAGTAGTATTACTAGTACTAGTAGTACCATCGAGCCAGAGCCGAAACATGCCCGTGGTGTTTACTCGAAACGTGGTGAGTTCGGAAGCTCGAGCTTGAAGGTACCCAGTCCATCTCGCACTGCCATATTGGAGCGAATTCCACCAAAGTTCTTTACCTGGAGTAGTCCACGTGAAGTTGACCATTCGATCTACTCGCGTCGCGATCGGAGGTCCCTACATATATATATATATATATAACCCCCCAAAAATAATATATATTATCAAGTCGATTCGAAATTGGAGTGCACAATCTTGTGGATTCGGTACGAATTTCCAGACCCCGTCGAATCATGAATCGACACTATTGGCTAATCCGATTTTTTAGTGGATTTGATTGGCTCTTGCAGAAAGGACAAGTCTATTCAACCAATCAGAGCTCCAGAGTAATTCAATATTGATCAGACGACAAACCACGCGAAATTTCAAAGTTTATAGCGAATTCACAATAATCAAGTAGCCAATCCAATCCACGCTTTGACCGATTCGACATCGAAAATTGGGGTGATAATTAGTGTGATACTGGATCATTTTTACATACAAAAGACAGGACCAAGAATCGATCGATAGATTTGGCAAAGAATCAGCACAAAAATCAGCCAAATATTGGGTAAATGGACAATGATATATTTGCTACCTGTAGGCGCGCGTTGGCAAAGTACTGTCCTTGCAACCCCGTTCCGAACAGCGTACAAAACGTCATCAAGTACTCGCCCGACATAGTTGGCGTCCACGAGTTGGCCCATCCATTGGTTGTGAAGGGTAGAAACAGTCGCTCCACGATTTCGTTGTACGACCTCATCAATTTGGCTTGTACGACCACCCACTTTGAGGCCGAGGGTGATGACGTGGCAAGCGTGAGTGCAAGGGGGGCACCGGCGATACCCCACGGCGGCACTTGGGCCGTAAAGGTCGGGTCGGGGGGGTCGTCGTCCAAGATGGTCACGACGGCCGAGTCCTGGTTGCCGATACTCGCGTCCACCGACGGGTCTCGCAGGACTACTTTAAACTGTTTTAAAACAGCGTTCCGAACAAAGTTGTCGTGGACGGTCATAGCAAACGTAACGGATGTGACGCCCGGCGCAAAGTGGAGGCGCTGGCTGGACGTATAAAACGCCGTGGCGCTCGCGTCATCGTCGGACGTGGTGATGTGAACGACGACGTACGAGACGGATACGAAACCGACGCCGCCCCCCGTTCGAGTGACCGTGATTAGGATGAATGAGGCATTTTCCAAGACCTCGTAGGTCGGGGATGATAAGGCCAAGGTCCCGGGGTGCCCGCAGACGATGTGGCTACGGGGAAGAGCGTCGCAGGACCAGGAAGAATCCTGGGAACTTCCCTGGGAACATGCCATCGATGGGGGAATGAACGGCACGACCATGTACGCCTCGGCCTCGTCAAACACTTGCGGCTCCTGGCTGCCGTACACGGAGAAGTAGGAAAATTCCCGCGTCGACTCCTCTAAGGGAACAGTTGACGGGTCGATACCGTCCCGCGCTCCACTGCGACGGACGGAATTGAGGATAAAATCCCCACAAGTGAGGCAGCGGTGGGCATCGCAGGAAATGCACCGGGGGTCGAACGTGGAGCAGGGCTCTACGACATACTAAGATCAAGATACAACGGACGACGTACGACAGCGGTTCGACGAGGCAGTGGGGTAAAATCCCGGGGAACACGCCAGACATGCCGCCGAGTTGCAAGTCGTGCATAAGGGATCGAATCGGTGGCACGACTCTACAAAATTGGTGATGACCACAAGGAAGGAAGGGGAACCTTCCTACGCTGGGAACAATCCAGACCCAAACGGTAGGAATTGCACATGCACGTCCCCGTGGCATAGTCGCAGCTGCCTTGACCGGAGCAGTCACCCGGGCAATTCTCTAGGAATCGATGGCATCAAGAACGGCGGCAGGATGCGAAGACCTCCTTACGCTTGGGATAGCAAAGACCCCCTTGCATGAAGTACTCGGGGATGCACTGCGTGCAGTTGAGGCCCTGGTATCCCTTGTTGCACCAACATGTGCTGGATCGCTGGTCGCAGAACCCGTACTCCTTCCCGACGCAGTAGTACTCGCCGTCGCTGAACGGCCCCACCATTCCAGGACACCGTTCTACCATCATGCCAAGGTGAGATACGTGTCGAACCATATGCACATACGAAGGACATCAACGCCGCCCCACTGCGCCGGAACCTCGGGGTTGAAGACCGCGCCCGAGTTGATGTGTTCGCGGAAGAAAGTCGACGCCGGGTCGCCGATGGACCCTACGAATCCCTTTGCATACGGCGGGAACACCGCCGGTGGAACGTCATCCAACGACACGACGTTCGTCATGTTGACGATGCGGAATCCTTGCGCATCACGGACGACGATCCCTACGAACGCCAACACGAGCCATGCGGAACTCGTCATGTTGTCGTCGAAAGATTGCGACGTTTGCTAAAAACACAATCCAACGTTTGAAACCAAGGTGGTTGGAAACACTGTTTGAAACATATGAAACATCAAAGTGTATTATTATGGTGGTGCAATCGACCAAACCGATCCACAATCGATCTGATTGGTTGAATTTCCTTGAGAAGGTTTTGATTGGCTATTAAATTTGAGCTGAGGCAGCCAATCAAATCGATTTAAATTCCAACGAGAAATCACAACACAACACGAAACTTCACTCGAAAGCACAATATCAGATTGCAGGAAACCATCATCAACACCAAATTAGTGTTTGACTTCAATTAGTGTGATACCAATCACCACAAGATACCTTTTTACATACATAGTACAAAATTCAGTTTAAAGAATCGATCGACAGATTTGGCGTAGTACAAAATTCAGTTTAAAGAATCGATCGACAGATTTGACGATTCATCACAAAAGTCCAAATTTTAGGTAAAAGGACAATACGTACCTCTGTCCAAGTTAATGGTGCACTTCATCTAAAAACGTCCAATTGGCCAAATTGAAGAGTGGAGGTTTTATTATTTAACGTGCAATTAATGTAGTTAAACCCAAAATCCAGATACGTTAAATACCAAATGCATGCGTTTTATCACCCGAGTGGGAGGTTAAAGGTCCCAACTGCCTCCGGATATTAAATACGGATAAGAGTCACATACAAAAATCAAGATACACTTGAGCGGCCACCCCTATGACCAAATATCCAAGCGCCCATGTAAAATACCCCTAGGTTAAATATCTATTTCTGGACCAATTCATCACAAAATTTGAATCTGAGACGTAGAATTTCTTCACCACATTGAGATCTGTCGATTATACGTCTCAATTTGCTGCAATTTTGAGTAATGAATATGAAATAGAAGTCAGAAAATTTTGTGAAAAGTTGGTAGTTTATAGATGACGTGCACCATACAGTATTCGGCTACGATGTATCTTGCTTTGACTAATACAACAGTATACGATGTCGATTTTGGAAGCTGATAAAAATACAAGTTGGTGGGATATCCGTCGTGACGATGCAGTAACTTACAGTTAGTTACCGTCCGTTTGTGCTATCGGGAGGGTAACTTTTTAACCCCTTGTCAGATTCTGCTCATTCTTTTATTAATTATATCTCTTCGTATTGAGTTGAATACAGCCGAGTTGTATGTACAGAAACCCTTTTTCTGGTAAAACTGCACTCGAAAAATATACTTTAAGTAGTAATAATGCTCGGTATTTCTTTACGCAAGTAATCGTATTTTGAATTTAACTTCAAGTATTACTTATATTAGAAATGCTTTTAAACTCGAACTTGCGTATTTTATTTCACTTGAATTTACAGTTACTGCTGAATGGTAAACGAATGTTTGTCCTATAGAAAAACTCAAACTAGCGTAGAATGACTTACGTTAATCTTTAAAGCTAATAAGCTCGGAAAACGGATACCTCCTCTTTTCGGATATACTATTAATATCAGATCTTCACAATTCATACTGGAGCAACATTTATGGATGAAACAATTGAAAGATTCCGTTTGCCCAAACGGACGGTATGATTATACTAGAGTAGCAGTACATATATATATATATGACGGAGTTTACTCTGTAACGCGGCGCCAACAGCTGATATTGCACGGCATTGCCATGCCAATTGCCAAAATATGGTCGTCGGAAATTGTAAACTTGGATTTTGTATTGAACTTTGGCATGGCAGTCACGGAGGGACACATATAATTCACCACTAATTCGACGAGAATGCTCAGATTATGCTCTTTCACCTCAACAAATTTGCAGGCCAATTGGAGGTGAGGAAGTTCGGTGATTCATATCAGGCGCAATCATCCTGCAAGCCAAACACCGCCTCCTATACATATAGGAGTCGGTGTTTGGCTTGCCATCGCTAGTGCATGGTACAATTCCCCCATTAAAACAGTTCCACTGTTGTTTTGACCCGAAATACTGTTTCAATGAGATTTATAAGGAGCTTTGTATGCTCAGACCACCTCACCTCTTACTAGGGAAGGGTTAAGTCCATCTAAGTGGTTACATAACGATAGCTAATCACTAGCGATGCAGTTAACCCCGGAGATTTAGCATCGTATGTACTCACCGGGTGTAGGACGGAACAGGGAAATGTGGTATCCGGATGTAATATTTCATTGACTGTGAAACAGTATTTCGGGTCAAAACAACAATGGAACTGTTTTAATGAGGGAATTATTCCTAGTACATGGCATCACGCAGTTCCAAGGCGAATTGACACAGGACCTGGCCACCCTTCTCGCCGATTTATAATTCTACTGTCAGATCTACTTCCATGATATAGATGCCACGGCCCAGGGTCTTCTTGAGGCACTTGAGCGTGACCACATCACGAAGGATTTATAGTTAGCACAGTACATCTGTGAGTCATTGAGAGCCCCGTCACATCGCCGCCGCCGCACATATGGGCTACATGGGAGCAATCGACTACTAGTACTTGTGTCCATCTGGCCTTCCACTCTCCATGTTCGCACTACGGCGGCCTCGAGCAGACCGCGGAAAAATATGGAATAACCTTACCATATAGTGTATATGTATCGCGACAGGTGATATTTCACAACCGGCCGACACTTGTTCAACTTTTTTAATCCATTGCGTCATACAAATTTGAAGTATATTCAACCATATTCACAAGTAAATATCAGTTATTACAAGGAATTTATCAGTTATTACAGGAGTCGCAATAGATTAATCCGTCGCAATACATATACACTATACGGTACTGTTAACGTTAACGTTTTATGATACACTGATCAATTTCGAAGGATTTGAGTATACATAGATTAAGTTTAAATTGTGTATCATCAATTGATCATCGAAATAAGTGTAACTTTGCTTGGAAAATGTAAATTTGACCGTGTTGATTACCGCAAAACTTAATACTTTCTAATGGAAGAAACAGCCATGTATTTCAGCTACAAGCATCAAGTTTCAGAGGGCGAAATTGGATTTGTATCGAGGAGATTCGAAGGTTCTGCTGAGGCACCTCTCTTAAATGTACTAGTATCAACAATTCATCATTTACGTTAAAAGTACTAGTACCGGTAGTAGGGAAGACAATCAAAATGAAATCATAACTATGGAAATTTTCGTACATATATGTACTGACCACTATCGTTAATATTGGCTTGGAGCTCGCATTGCAAATTCAAACAACGTGCGTCTCCCGAGTTAACAGTCCGCGACAGCACCGAGGGAGCTTAAGCTGGCTTTCATTGAAAAATTATCGGTTTTTCGTGTATTTTACACTAGAGGATGCGTAATAAAAAACTGAGTTTGAACTCTGGCATTGAAACACTTTGAAACAGCATATCCTGTCACATAGAACGTTTGAAACCAAAATCTTGAATACTACTTCGAAGTATTTTACCCCAAATATAGATAACTTGTATATCATGATATTTGGTTCCACTGCACTTGGTATCAAATGGTAGAGGCTACACAATTTTCATTCCTCTTTATTATATTGAGTATTGATTTATACAGTTTATTGTATCTAACATGTACTCCCATATATGATCCATCCGGATAATTATCCGTTAAGTTCCCTCACTCGGACTGTAAATAAAAAATACAAGCTCCTTTTTAGAGTCTTCAACTTCTCTCAAGAATTTATACTTTACTTCAGTCAAGAATATACAACTTCTGGCAAGAATATACAACTTCAATCATGCATACAAGTGCTGTACTTAAACTATGTATGCTTTGGAATACCTTGATCAGATTGGTACCCTGGGAACAGGCATTATGAGAACACAAGGCACGCATTATGTATATGTAAACACAAGGGGTTTCGGGGTTCCAAAGGTACTTGTACAAGGTACATACGGGCAAAAGGAGTAAAATGAAGCTGGAAATGGACAGGTGCATTGTAACGTACCATACCGGTATCCAACATGTGTATACAGTACGTTGAAATTGTAGATTCTCGATTCCGTAATTGAAGATTCTTGAAATGCTGTTGTAAATTCATTGTCTCTCCCCAAAATCGCGGGTTTCCAAGCCGAAACAGCAACATATCTCCGTATCGATAGGATACAATGGCCTGTAAGGACCATTTTGGCAGCAGAGAACAAGAGTTCAACTATATTTGATGTGACCTATACATATATAGGTGAAATAAACGTCGACGAATTGCCGTGGGTAACGTAAAACACAGTTAACCAATTTAGGATAACTTTTAATTGCCCAATCACAGTTCGTTACTGTATTTGTTGGAGTCAAAACCTCTGTCATATAATGCCAGAGGTTTTCACGTCGATGAAAATACCAATTCAGCGTAGAAGCCGTTGATAATAGTAATTCAAGATTGGGTTTGAAGTAGCCTTGGCGATACCGGCCACATTGGGTTGGATCTGAGGTTGTGTCGAGTGATAAACTCGGTGAATATTATTTCCACACCTTTATTTTATATTCTACAAAGCTATAACCTTGTGTAAATTATATTTAACCTGTTGTAACCGCTTACCCTAAACACAAATTTTCAATACTATCACACATACATACTTCAAGATAAATAGAGTTATCCTAAATTGGTTATCAAAATGTGAGTACAAAGGCTTAGAAAGTGACAAATTTATCTGTTTCGGGGTAAACTTATAATTTGATTATGTCGAGAAAGCGGTGCGTCTTGTCTTTTGGAATCACTTCCCAGAACTCAAATATCGTAACGGACTCAAACGTTATGTGCATTCTACTCCAACGCCTCCAAAAAAGTTATCTTAAACTGGTTTTTTACGTTAATACAGTCGGCAACGTTTCCAGCTCAGAATGGATTGGACAAAGCTTAGAGTCATCCTCGTCACCAGGTGAGTGCACAACACTGGAGGTGCATTGCAGCATGGCTTAATGGCATATCCAGGAGTTCGTTTTATCCCAATGCAATAGTGACCATCGGTTTAGGGAAATCGAGCTCCTGTCTATTAGAATAACGTTACCACAAACAACCCAATGGGTTGACCGAGCCAATGGGTCGTTTGAGGTAGAGCCGAAAATAAGAAGTGGCCTAGTCCCCAAAGTCGCCGGCATGGCGCTCAACCCGGCCTCGTACGCCGGCCATCTCGCAGTTTCTGTACGAATATCGCCTGGAGGAGGTCACCATCGGCCCCTCATTGTGCGCGCAGCCAAAGGCGGCCGACACCGCCGCTTCCACGCAGTGGATTGATCCAGGATTTAATTCCCTGAGTGGAAAATATCCACAATTGCTTACGTAATCATTTCACTTGTTTTTAGTATGTCATGTTTAAATACAGTGTAAACCACAACAACACATTCCAGCCAACTAGGGGCTGCGTGCATTTCGGTGGTTCGCGCTTACTAACCATGAAATGCACCTTACTGTTAACCCCGGGAATAGCCAGCACAAGGGGTCCGGAGGGGATTCCGAGGTTACAGGGCTACTACTGTACTGGTTCTTTTGAAGGGATATGGTTACGTATACAACAGTGGAACTGTTGCTCCCAGGGAATTATTCTGGATCGATGGACCACTGTAGACACAGGCTCTGAAGACAGCTGTCATGTCGCATTAGTGCGTAGGATTACTGGGAGGATCAAATACTGTCGCTAACGTTACATGTAGCTACACTACACGAGTGTAGTGTATCCTTGGCAGACTCAAACCAAGGCAATGTTTGAGTGGAGGGTACAATTAGTTGGCACGTACAACCCCTGAGTAAATTCGTAATGCTAGAATGTCAAACAACTTGTCGGTTGCTGCTACGGCGACGCGACTGACTGGACGACGAAGCACATAACCATTAAATTATTCAACTCATCAGACAAGCACAGGGAGCGGTCGTCACAGCAATTCCTGCAGGATCCGGCAGTCTTCCTCGGTCATGATATGGGGTTTGGAAAAGTCAAAGTCCATCGGCCACGGAAGGGTCTGCAGGTCGTCCATGTTGCCGTCGGCGGTCGGTCCTTCCAGCATGAGCGCCGCGTCCTTCTTCTTCTTGGCGTAGATCTGCTGGAGTGTGTTGGCCTTGACCCGATGAAACTCGCAAAGCGAGTGCAGTGTGCCGTTTCGTTTGGTTGTGCGGGGGTTCATACACTTCTTGTACGAGTATTTGCACACGTTGTCCGAGTTCGCGGTGATCATCCTGAAGTCGACGCAAATTAAGAAGTGAAAACCACGTCCATATTTTTACGGCCTACAGTACAGATTACTCCACAGGTGACTCAGTGTGGCCGCCTTGCCCTCGACTAATATGACCAAATCAGATCTCCATGCAATCGACTCCAGAATGCGCGAAATAGAGCTATTTTGACCATTTCGACTGAGATTTAGGTCCACGGCAACTGTCGATGACTACAGTGGCATGGTTGAGACAAGCCACAGAACAACTGCATAGCGTGGGATCGCGTTTCTACTAATACTTAAGGGCAATTTGGACTCCTACGTACTAGTACTGCTTCAGATTATGCAGTCGATGCAACAGCTAGATAGGTCACTACATTATTGTCATCATCGCAGCTGGATGAGCTTGGATACTCAGAGGTAAGGGTGCCGGGGAGGGCCGCCTTCTAAACCCAATATGGTCACATCTGGATTGCTCAACTCCCGAACATTTACGTCTTGTAAATACAGAGATACGGAGCAGCTGAGAAATACTACTATCCAACACGATGACACTAAAACGCGTTTTGCAATGCAATCCAATGACCAGATAACGTTAGATGATAATCCAAACTCAATTAACCAATGACCAGATGGGGAACTCGTAATGACACTGCGCATTCCGGCATACATCTATTTGCATATGGATTTTTGTCGCCCTTTGGAACCTAAATTTGGACAGCCTTCGAAATAATCGATATAGTGTCAGGGGCGACACTGACCTTGTAAATGGTGTCGTGTATTCCATACTAGCAGCACAGAACCCTTCTACTGTAGATAACTGTAAGCTCAAAGCCCGCCTGCAAATGCGGACAAGGACAGCCTGTCGATACTGACGGGTATGAATGCTGGCAGCAGGCGCCATATGGACGTTCATCCCATCGATAGATACAAAACAGAAAAAGAGGCCACACGCCAGACAAGTCATCCAACTACCACGTTTCTCCCCAACAGCATTACAACTTGGATATACCGGTACAGTTGACTAGTTTGACTATACTTTGCGGTATGGATTGCAGTTGGTACACCCTTGGGTCAGTACTTTAAGGTGGACGGTAGGGTAAAAAAGAGTGTGTACTGAAACCCCGAAACTTCCCCATCTAGTGGCCGTTTTCGGTGCCGTCGACTATCGGGTGTGTTCAGGTAATACCTACATAAAGTACTGCTGTTCAATCGAGTTGTATTTCTCACGTCCATGTCGCAGTGTCAGGGGTAGTCTACTTCCACTAGTTATCAGTAAAGTACAATTCGATTGCACACGAACTACGAGAATGACGGTCAGTGATACCAATCTATTCATATGGTGTGAGCAGCCGCAATATCCTTGTCGACTGGACGAGGACACTTTCGTTACAGTATTAATAGTACTATAGTGGTACTTCGAAGGTAACTACAGTACTCCGAGTACTTACAAGGTAGCTTAGTGCTAACGTTATTAGTACAAGTGAAATCGTTGACGAAGTCGAGTGCTCTACTAGTAAAATGAAGCGCAAGAGCATCTCCACCGGGTATTTTCAGGGTGTTATTTCGGGGAAATTGATTCCTATAGTTTTCGGACAATATCTGTACAATTCGCCCATTTGCAGTAAAAAACGTTTCCACTGTTTCATTTCTCAGACATTGTACTTGTTATATGAATTGGATTCAGGAGAGGCAATGAATTTACAACAGCCTTTCAAGAATCTACAATTACAGAATCCAGAATCTACAACTTCAACGTATCCACATGTGCATACATTACCATGCATCTTACAATTTCCAGCTTCGTACTCTTTTACCCGTACCCTTGTAACCCCGAATCCCCTTGTGTTTACATATAATGTGTGCCCCTAAACCACTCGTGTTTTCATATAATTCCTGTTCCGGGGTTATGTTGCATCGCCAGTGTTTGGCTAACGCTAACCACTGTCCAAGCACATAACCCCTAAGTACAGTACTTACTTCGAAGTAATTAGCTGGAGGACCTAAGGGAATGATAATCCAAACTCAATTAACCTAAGGGTGTGTAACAGGTTGATATACTGATCAAACTGATCCTGATATACAAAGTTTAAGGTATAGTACTTGTAGTCATGGCTGCAGTTGTATATTCTTGCCAGAAGTTGTATATTCTTGACAGAAGCTATAGATTCTAACAAAGCTCGACAGCATCGAGGGTGCTTCTCATAATTGTATCGATTATGAAGAGGTTTTCTGCGACCCAACATTATAGTTGTCATAGTTTAGACCAATGAAAACGTATTATACTGAATAATATCCAATAAATTGGTCATAATATGTGTATACCCATTAGTCACAGGAGGGTCGAAAATTAGATGGATAAATGTATAAGTTTATAGTATGAAAATTCGCTAGTTTTGAAACTTTGAAGCATCGTTTTGGCAAGACTTTTAACGTTCGGGATTCGTTCAAAATAGCAAGTTGTAGAGTGGATCGACAGCTACATATGATATATTATGATATATTAAACTTTTCTGGCTAACCTTTTTGTCACAAAAGTTATGCTCAAAGGCACCGTCGAAGCTGTCGCGCACTGTAAAGAAGTTGTAGACTCTAAAAAGGCGCTTGTATTTTATCTCGGATTTAGTAAGCTCACCTCTTACTATTAGTAATTAATAGGGGCCAAGAGCATAGATTGAACACTACAGTAGCTACGCCAACACCACCTTACACATGAGCGGTTATTCCAACTACCCCCTCATTCAAAAAATGACATCCTCCACGTTCTCCGCCTTCGCATCTCCATCTACAGTACTTTCTCAACGCGAACCACCGTACTCTGTAAGCATCTCCACCATGGGGATGCTTGTAAACACTCTGCATGTACTGTAGCCCCCCTTGCATCACAATGTAAATCACCACATTTGGAACACTAGGGTACAACTATTATAACTGTAAATTACTGTGAGCGACTTGGCAGGTATCACAAAACACGGCATGAAGCTCATCACACAGCTGATTGCAAGCGCACAAACCTACATATTATATTCTATCGAGGCAAGCTCATCACCAGTCAGCTGTCAAAATCTAGCAGTGTACAAGTACTACAGTAACGTTACAAAGGTAGGTAACTCCTCCGCGTTACAGGCACTCGGAAACATTAAGATACGTCACTTGGTCGCTGTATTGAAATCGAACTGTCGTCCGCCAATGAAAGCAAGGAGGCTATTACTTTTAACCAATCAGATAGTTGTCAGATTAGACATGGATATTTTTGGCGGACATATAAAAAAAACGTGTTCACAGTCAATGGAATTTCGAAATATCCGGATATATCCACTAAAATATCCACATTTGGCTGAGTTATACGAATATTTGGCTTCATTGAACACGCCCTAATTTACGACTTTGGATGTCTCGTAATGATTTACTGTTAACGCTACATAAGGTGTTTCATGTAATTTCCGCCCAGCTTGTCCTACTTTTGAAGTCTCCTAACTCATCGCCCGTGAATGCGATAAGGCAACAAAAACATGGATTCTCAAGGTCGTGAGGAGCTTTATTAGTTTACACAGGACCATCGTTGTACTGTACTAGTATCGCTTACTTGACGATTTTCTCATCTCTGTAATTTTCCTATGTAACGTTAAATGACTCTTGTTAATATCCAATCAGAGTCCATCACACCTTGTTTCTTACACACGATTGGCTATAACACTGGCAGAAGAGGTTTACAATTTGAACTGTCTGGACGCTTGAATTTTGTAGAGTTCACTCCTACTATTTCCAGTGTGGTTCTCCCCTTGCAGCTAACATTATGTTGTGCGCTCGGCTGGGTCGCAATGCCGTGGCTGCTCTGGTGGGCCAACGCTACCAAGACTCGTGGTAGCACCCATGCTGAAGTGGCGGCTTTAGCACTTGCGATGGGTGCCACCAAGACGACTTGCGCCACCCGCCCGCGCAACCACGTGATCACAGCAGCAGGGAGGTTTACGGCACCGACTCTGACTGGATAGGGCGACTGGCGGAGCTCAGGTCGATCGAGGACGTTCAGCTGCGACGGCACACGACGAAGGACGTCCACGCACTACTGCTTCGGGAATGGAGGCAAGATTGACGCTGGGGTGGGATGGGTCGACACCTGGTCGAAGACATCCACGTGTCGTTTCGACGAGGCTTTGAGATGCTGGTCAAGAACGGGGAGATGCGCCGAGAAGTGAACGTGTCGTCGTTCCGCCAACTTGACAACAGCCTGCACCATCACCAAAACATCGAAGACCACTCGTGGTTTCCGCGTCTCAAGCAATTGCACCCCGAGAACCGTTCCGAAGTGGACATATGCGAACGAGATCATCGCAAACTCATCGAATTGGAATCTCGCGTGGCGTCCGGCGACTACGATGCCCTCGTCGAGTTCGTCGAACACTTCCAATTCAACCGCGAAGAAATGTTGTCTGTGCCGTGGCTTCTGGAGGGCACTGGTGAGTTGTAAGTCAAGTAGGCTAGCTACAGTAGCTCCAATGAGGGATGACCACATTCATTGGGTTAGTAGTGGTGATGTTACTGAAGTCTAGTCCTGTTTGAATTGACCGAGTCCTGAATGCCACATCGTTGATCTTGCTCTCATACACAGTCTACATAATTATCTCAATGCTCCTTGCATCAACGCCATCATAGAAGTAGAATATATCGCAACAGGGTGTGATAAATCTATGCAGCGATTTTCGTGATTTCACGGCATCTGATTGGACAATTTTGAATTCGCAAGGTGACCTGCCTTGCGAATTCCAAAAACAGACAAACACATGGAGAATAAAAATCAACAATACAAACTTGAAGATGTATTTAATTGAACCTACCAGTATACAATTTCAAAATTATTTATGGAATTCACAAGGTGGTTCACTTTGCGCAGCATACAAAATTGCCTATTTCACCTTGCATTTTCTGGTTTATGAAAATTCCGCCCTGGTGTTTGACTTGAATAATGTATGACAGATTTGACCACCGAAATACCCAGAATCGTAAAGTGTACAACGTATTCAATTTACAGTTAGAAATTCCTGTAATGATGAGATTACTTGACTTGTCAGCGAACTCAAACATTAACAGTATTAATAAATGTTACGTGTATAAAACAAGCGAACTAGTCTTGTCCAGTCATTTTCATTTGATGATTGTAATTGGTTGCCAACTGGGCGGAAATTGCATGGTTACACGAATCACCATATTAATACTGTCAACTAAGTTAAAGTTGTAGGTAATTCACCGCAACCCTTAACTGCCTGCTCGCTGGATTAATGCATCACATGCGAGTAGCATTGGGAAAATATTGATTTCTACAGTAATTTGGAATGGTTCGTTCGCACCATAAAGTGTTGTAGTGCCCCCAGCAACGTATGGTCGTAACAAACTGTAATTTCACACAACACGATATACTACTGTACTCCGGAGTACTACGTAGTATTAATAGTACGATATATGTCTGATACATAAACGTCTCGGAGTCAACTTGTAGTTTACTGCAGTGCGCGCACCTCAAGCCTGTAAAAAGTATGAGGTCCAAAACCGCTCCATATAAATCATCAAATGACATATTTTGAATGACATAGCTTATAAATCGATAGTTTAGCGCAAGACGAATCGACTAATAGGAACCAATCGCGGAAATTCGCAAAATTGACGAAATATATGGAGGCCAAAGTTGGTCATCTTACAATATCATGGTATGAAATTTGATCGGATATGTGGTCTTATATGGTGCACATCAAAGTCTATTACACGACCAATTCTTCGCCAAATTTGATTCTGAAACGTAACGACTAGATCTGTCGAAACCATGCATCTTTTTACTTAAATTTCGGGAAATGAATACTACGGTAGTACAACTACGAGTACTTTGAAATATGGTGCACTTCATCTAAAAACTTCCAACTGGCCAAATTGAAGAGTGGAGGTTTTATTATTTAACGTGCAATTAATGTAGTTAAACCCAAAATCCAGATACGTTAAATACCGATTTCATGCGTTTTATCACCCGAGTGGGTTAAAGGTCCCAACTGCCTCCGGATATTAAATACGGATAAGAGTCACATACAAAAATCAAGATACATTTGAGCGGCCACCCCTATGGCCAAATATCCAAGCGCCCATGTAAAATACCGCTAGGTTAAATATCTATTTCTGGACCAATTCATCACCAAATTTGAATCTGAGACGTAGAATTTCTTCACCACATTGAGATCTGTCGATTATACGTCTCAATTTGCTGCAATTTTGAGTAATGAATATGAAATAGAAGTCAGAAAATTTTGTGAAAAGTTGGTAGTTTATAGATGACGTGCACCATAGCAGCCAGACGGTTTTGTGAAATGTTGGAAGTTTTTAGGTGACGAGGACCATACCCGGATAAATTGTGCCGGATAATTAATAGTGTATCCGGTAGTAGCGCGTACTTTCGTTCGCAGGTTATTTACTACTAGTAGTACTACTTTGAGGTAACTAAAACCTCAGATATGTAATACTATTAATAGTACAGTACAGTAGTAAAACTCTACTATTAATAACATTACTACGTAGTACTACGTCCGTCGAAGGTTGGGGACTTGTACAATGTATCACAAAGTTATACTTGCATAATGTATGATGCGTCGTTGAAGCGGCAAAACAGGTTATTTCATTGGGTTTGAAACTGTTCTGACGTGGAGGGACGTCAACGGCATGCTCACGTCAAAAGGACACGACCACTTGGCAACCTTCCCGATCTGTCAACTTGTAATTTAAAAATAATATTCGGATGTAACCATAAACTTTTGAAGGTGTTAGTGGTGCCGTGTATATGTTTTGCGACGGATTAATCTATTGCGACTCCTGTTATAACTGATAATTTTCTTGTAATAACTGATATTTACTTGTGAACATATTGAATATACTTCAAATTTGTATGACGCAAGGGATTAACAAAGTTTTGAGAACGAGTGTCCGCTGGTTGTGAAATATCACCTGTCGCAATACATATACACTATACGGTAGCAGTCTTATCCAATCCTACCAATTCTTGAGCTCTATTGATTGGGTAATGCAGCTCAGCAAATCACCGAATCGTCATATTACTGTAGTACTACAGTAGTACAAGAACTTGGCGTAGGTCTACGAAAGAAAATTCCCCCCACGGTCGACTAGTAAATTCTCATACTCATGCGATGTGACATTCAATATATTCTACACTAACACCCCCCACTAGTCGAGTCGTCTTCTGCTTGCCTCGAGTACTGCTCGGTGACGGCGGCGCGGCGGCGGTCGTCCATGAGTTGCTGCTGCAGCGCCAGTTTGCGCAGGTGTTCTCTTAGGTCGTTGCAGCGGGGCACGCGGCACTCGGAGCCCCGGCACTGCCGCGCATGGATCTGCAGCAGTGCCCACACCCGCCGGCAGACGCCGCAGCCGCCCGTCGCGCGCAGCTTGCACTGGGCCCCGTGTCTCAGCAGTTCCTTCATCTTTTCGCAGTTGGCAGAGGCACACCCGCCCTCGTCGCAGCTGCTGGCGTGCACCAGTAGCTGCATGTGCAGAGCGATGCTCTTCTTGCGCTCCTCCAGCGCTTTCTTGGCCACGTCCGAGACCGTTCCCACCGCCTCAAGCGGGTGTCCATGGGCGGCGGCGGCCTTGGTCTCGTAGCACTTGGCGCACACATCGTAGTCGACGCAGGTATTGCAGTGCCACCGCGTACCGCTGTTGATGTCGGCTTTGCATACATTGCAGCTGTAAATATACCCGTTGGTGAGCTGGCCGAGGTGGAATAACGTGAGCATAGACGTGTGCTTGGCGCGGCGGAGCTCGTCAAACTGGTAGTGGTTGGCTTGGCAGAGCGATAGAAACGCCTGGCGGGTGTCGAAGATTTCGCTCTCGACGACATCATCTGGGTCCGAGCACTTTTCCTTGAGCGTGAGCTTGATGGGGACGTACGGCGGGGTCTCTTTGACGTTGGACTGGGTACTCATTTGGGTCTGATAGCACCCGTCGCACAGGCATGTCTTGCTCTCCTTCCATATAGTGCCGTCATGAATAGTACGTTTGCACTGCGTACAAGATGGAAGCAGCTTGACGACGAGGAAGTCATCCTTCATCGGGTGAATGTGCTCGCCCAGCTTGTGCATGAGCTGGTCGTGAAAGTCGACGTCGTCGCGGGCGTCCTTTTTGGCCAAGTGTTTGGGCTTCTTGGTCTTGTGGTCCTTTTTCTTTTTGGCCGATTTACCCTCTTCGTCTAGCTTTTCAATCAGCTCTTCGGCCAGCCCGACCCAGTAGTCGCCTTCAAAGTACGGCAGATCCGTGGGCGACGCGTGGGCCACGGCCCAGTACTCGTCGTACATGTTGTTGATCTCCACGACAATCCCTTCCTCCTTGGCTTTCATCAGCATCTGGATGTACCAGTGCCGCAGCCGGTCGCTCTTCGGGGTCTTCTGGGTCTCGGGGTGGCAGTACAAGATGTAATCGTCGCCCTTGAGCGGCGGACACGCCCATATGTGCGCCGTGTGAAACCCGCGCTGCTTGACGTACTCCAAGTACCCAATGAGGATCTCATGGTACAGCTTGGTTCGAAGATATGCTGGCTCGAGGTAGTTGACCGAGTCCAGGTAGCTCACATACACCCGCCTTGCGTTGCACTGGGCTTCTTGCTCGTCAAACTCGTGCACGTACATGCCAAAGAGCAGTACGCTCACGCCGTGGATCTCCTGGAACATGCAGATACACTTCGACTTGAACCGGTGCTCGGACGGGTACTTGGCCTGGTCTTTGTATCGGTGGTACATCTTATCCCGCACCATGAGGGTCTTGTCGATGTTGCTCACTTGGCGGATGATGAGCTTGTCATGCTTCATGGCTTGGTCTTCCGCTTGGAGGACCTTGGCTACCCGTCGTTCGAGGTAGTCGCTGAGCTTGGATCGAGGCAACGACTTGGCCGTCCATACCTTTTTATCTGCAACCGTGCGGTTTTCAAGCTGGAGCAGACACGTGGGGCACTGGAACTCGGAGCCTTTCTCCTTGTCGGAGAAGAGGCCGCAGATCTGGTGCACCCACTGGTTGCAAGAGTCGCACTGGACCCACGGCTCTTCGTGCACGTCGTCGTTCTTCTTGCGACAGAGTTCAGCCTTGATGTAGGGCGGGCCGCCGCCATCCGCCGGCTTCGTGATCGTGTCGGGGAGGCCGGGGTGGCATGCCACACAGCAGTGAAACTTGTTGTCGGGGGAGCAAAAGTAGTAGTTGTTGCGCCGGATCTTGGAGTTGCAGTCGCCGTTGCAGTACAAGATAGCCGGTTCGAACACGAGCCCTTCCGACCCGCACAGCTGGCACGCGCCGTCCTTGGCCCGCGCGGCCGCCTCGTCGGCGCCGATTTCCGCCTCGAGTTTGGCCATTTCGCAGTTGAAGTCCTTGAGCATGTCACTCGCTAGCGAGTACACTTCCTCGCCCTCGTTATTGAACGTCATGGCGTTTCCAAACGTGAGCCGGACGTCCGCCGCGAACGGGTACATGTGCTTGTACACGTTTCCCTCGAGCTTCTTCTTGATCGTGCCAAAGTCCATCGGGCGCTTGATCACGTGGAAGTAGTCGGGGATGCCCAGGGCCACCGGGTCCACGGGCGTGCTAAATACCCACCCAAACTTGTGCTCCATCATGTTCTTCAGGATCGGGTCCAGCTTCTTCTTGAGCTGCGCGACTGTTAGCGAAGCGCAGTGGCTTTGCTGGAGCGACTGAACGTGCGCGCGGATCTCGGCGTTGGTCATCTGCGGCAACATGCACGTGCCCGATGAAGCAGGCGGTGGCGGTGGTGGAGTTGGCTCGGCTTTGACGGCAGGAGTAGTACTAGTAGTAGTACTACTAGTAGGAGGAGGACTCGGGTCCAGTTTGATCTTTTTGTCGGGCGGGTGCTCGTCTTTGACCGGCAGTTCTAGTACGGGCGTGTTTTGTATCAGAGACGTTTCAAGCATGGGAATGTGCTGATTGGTCGATTTGAGCAGTAGGTTTTGCATGGATTCTGCAGACTCAAACGACGTGGGATGACGTGGCGGCGTCTGGCGTCCGTTGATGGTAAATGCCATGATCTTGTGCTGATGGGCGCACCGGGACAGCTTGGCTTTGAGTTCCTTGAGCTGTTTCTGCAGTTCCTCAGCTTGTGAGTGATACTGCACCTTGGCTGCTGGGTCCAGCGCCATCCGAAACAGCTCCACTTGCTTGGTGCACTCGACCGTGAGCATCTGGATCTGGCTTTTCAGCTGCTCGGCCCACACTTGCAGCTTCTTGCTGTGCTCTTGCAGCTGCGCCATGCTCCAGTCCTTGAACTTTTGCTGAATCATGGCCATCTGCGTCGCGAATTGCTGGCCGCCTGGAGGGATCGTGGACGGTCCTACCATACATATATATGTATACATTATATATATATATAGTTATTGTCAAGTCGATTCTTTCTGATTGGTCAATGAGTGACTCAACCAAATCACAGACACTATCGATATATATCGACCAATCAAAACACCATACACGAATCAAGTGGCCAATCAAATCCTCGCTTTCCAAATTCGTGTATGTGTGAAATCGATGGATTTGGTAAATCAGCACTAAAAAAAATCCAAATATATTGGGTAAAAAAGGACCACATAACCCACAGATTTACCTGGAATCGGTTGAGCGGTTGGGATGTTGGGGATGACAGCTACTGGTGGGGCTACAACAGTTGGCCCAGTGTTGATATCTGCCGAAGATCTCTTGAGCGAGTTGAGCTTATGCATGGCTTGATGGGGGTCCATGATGAGTCCTCCATTGGCGTCCTTGGCCTCGATGGGCTGCCGCACCACGCTGCACACGATGCACTGCGAGTTGGAGCACTGGTGGAAGTGACTTAGCACAAACTTGGAGCTGATGCAGTGCTCCACGGGGCACGACGTCATATTCGGGCACAGCCCGATGTGTCCCCACAGCGCCTTCATCTCGGTGCACTGGGGCGTGGCTTTACACTTGGCCGACTCGCGGCACCACATGGCGTGGCGCAACAGAAGCAGCCGCTGCTGCTGGTTCACCAGCCCTTGCTTGTAGCTGTCCTGGTTTGTGAGCATGTTTTGCACGTTCTTGTGGTACTCTAGCGCCGCGTCCGCCGGCAGTTTGGCCGTGATGAGCGCCACCTGTTGGCAAAACCCGGCCAGCTCCGGGGGCGTGTGGGGGTTCCGCTGGGCGTGAAAGCTGCGCGCGACCACCTGCAGCCGCGCCTTGAGCGTCGTTTCGTTCATGTACTCGTCTTTGGATTTGGCGCTGCGATACAGTTTTTCTTCGAGCTTCTTGGCCATCTGGGGCAGTCTGCGGATCCAGTCCACGGGTGCATTGGGCTTTTGGTTGCGCAGGAACGCCACAATCTTGTTGATGACTTCGTGGCGGATGGTCGTGTCGGCCTTCTCCGACTGCCACGTAATAGGGACTTGGTCAAGTTGCTGGTGTTGTATCTGCTGCTGTTGCGCGTTGGCCGCCTGCGCCGCCATCATCCGCGCCTGCATCATTTGCTGCTGCGCAAACTGCTGCTGCTGCTGCTGCCGGAAAAATTGCTGCTGCTGCGGCGTCATCATGCCAAACATGGCCGCGGGATTCGTGCCCATCATCTGCTGGAACCCGTTCGGGTGGTTGAACTGGTTCGCACCGTTTAGCATCATCATGGGGTTGTTGTTCATGAGCATGGAGTTGTTCAGGTGCATGTTGGGAGTGCCCATCATGTTTGCGGCGGCGGAGGCGGTCGATTGGGGATTGAACTCGTCGGGAAAGTCGAGCGGCGCGCCACCTGTGCCTGTCAAGTCGTCCGGGACGCCGCCATTGTTGTACCCAGGTGGCATGAACATGTTGCCCATGTTTCCCATCTGGTATGCGGTATTGTATTGCCCCATGTTCATCCCTGGATTGCCGCCCATGATGGGGTTCATTTGACTTGCCATGAGCGGATTCATGACCGTGTTCGATGGTATGGTGCTGCTGCTGTTGAGGTTTCCACCCGTGGCCGGGGTGAACGGAAACATGTTGGTCGCATCGCCAAGCCCAAAGTCGCCCACAAATGTCTTGTCCATGGGATGCAGTCAGCCTGTCAAGTCTACGGCGGTCGTGCGTGAGTGCCATCATCCTCTGCTGTTCATCGATCGCTTGGTCGTACCTGTCCTCTTGGGTCGATATCAAGACACCCGAATATGATGCCACTCGAGGGAAGGAGAGGTCTCAGTCAACTGCGCTCTCAAACCTCGTCGTAGACTGCCTCGTCGTACGATGTCGGCGACGATTCTTATATCCAAATATGCGAGTTTGGAGTGGCCATCTTGGCCTGGTATCGAGGCGGTATACAAATTTCAAGACAACACCCCCTCTAAGACCACATGCGGGAGTTTCAAGTGAACAAATACCCTAATCAAGCAATTTACCCTAAACTAGACCATACACTATTCAACACCACGGAAGCAGTCGTACACATCCCTAAACAAGTGTCCCTACCGAGATATCGCACTTAGCGGGGTACCTGTGGCTTGAGCCCCTGGGCTAAGTTTAGACAACCCCAGTACATTGCTACTGTACGCGCGTGGACAAAGGCGGCATCTGTCTCTTGCCATGCATATACTAGACCTAGTATGTACCTGCTCGGGGGCATCCCTTGCTTTGCAGCGTCGTACGCTCTGTCGAAAAGGTGATTCTCGCCGTTCTTTGAGTACCATTACCAGCATTAGTAACCAAACTCTCGACCTCCGATTGGCTGGTTATCCGGAATATGTCGGTGGAACTGCGCTCGTTGGGATCTTTCAAACGTGGCAGCACGATCCATCGACAGATTTTGTACTGATCTACTTGCCACGGGCCATGTCACACGTTGTGTTGGAGCTTGGCAGTTGATAATATGGTAGGACATTAGGTACAGACTATAGCTTCTTGGGGAATGAGTACCTACCTACCTACCTAGCTCCACGTTACCGAAAATCGTGAAAAGAACGATCCTGACGCTGCGGCCGATTAACCTCAAAGCCAAGTCGAAAAGGGTACTATATGCCTCAAGCGAATGACTTGGCAGACTACCGTACAGTTGCACGGGCATTTGGCCCAAGGATGCTCTTAACGTTAGTTTTTGCACCGTCGAGACACACCAGTCATTGCCAACGTCACCGTGAACCCCAGCGAGGAGAAACTAAGTAACGTCGGTCCAAGTGGTAGTAGGTACTTACTACATTGGGATACGGAACAACATGGATGCAGTAAGCTTATTATTATTGGGGTGTTCATTTCCCAGAACGAAGACATGGTTGAATTGCATCCTTTGGTGCTTCGTTCAATAGAGATATACATACATCCGTCGACGTTATCCTCATTTTACTTTCAAAGAGAGGACAGTCAACGGCTTCTTTACGAGATTGCTTCAACATATATTATATATACATACATATATTATATATACACATGGATCATTTGAAACCCACAGATTCAGATATATCAGTAAAGTGTGAAAACATCCGAACTTAACGGGAACTTGTCGTTTGCGCGCGAAAACCAACACTTTGGTGATATTAACATAAAGTTGGACCATGCACTGATATTATACAGCTGTACTACCAATGCATGTAAAATGTTAAAGGATGTTCATCAGTCGTCCCATGCGGCGTCGACGACTTGGTCGACTGTGGAGAGGTAATTCCTGGCAAAATATGGCCTAAAATGATCGGTATCTTTGAACACTGGCTCGCCTTCCACCATCGACACGACCTCACATACATCTTGGTGGCACTGGTTGACGGAAAAGTCCACGAGCGTCGCGTTCGCGTTCAGAACGGCCGCTTCCACGAGCTCAAGCACGAGCGCGACCTGCGGCTGCGTTCGGAACGCTTGGCGGCTGACGGGATGGACGGCCACGACGGCGTTGCCGTTGAGCATCATGTTGAAGTTGAAGCTCGGTCCTTCGGGGTTGACTGTGGCCACAAACACTCTGGTGCCGGACGCCTCGAGTGCCGCGATCTCTTGCTGGAACCGTGTCACAAGTGTCTCCACGTCCTCCTTGCTCTGGTACGTGCACTTGTCTCGGTATCCGGAAAGGCAGCAGACGGGTGAGGTTCCGTGGGATTGCAGTCCGCCCGGTCGAAGGAACTGGATCCAGTTGGTGACGTAGAATACGACCTTGGGCTGCACTTGCTGGATGAACGCGAGGTCGGCGGCGTGGTTGGAGCTGCATGACAGAGGCGGGTCACCATTGCGAGATCGGTAGAAGACCTTGGGGAACCTGGCGTTGGCGTCGGTGGCGAGCTCCAAGAGCCGGTTGAAGCGGGGCGCGACCATGTTGGCGTGCGAGTCGCCGAGCACGAGTACCCTGGGAACGCTGTCGGGGGCGTCGCCGTTGAGCACCTTGTTGCCGTCGTCGGATAAGTCTTGGTTGTACCCTTGGAACCCGACGAGCGGGTCCCAGTCGTTCATGGCGGCGAGGACTTTGGGCATGGTGGGTTCCGACAGCCGCGGCGGCGTGCTCCAGTTGGGCACGTCGGCTGTCTGGTTGAAGGTCGGACGGACGTACGCCGCCAGCTGGGCCGACGGCACGGAAAATGCCGACGGGAACTTGGTCACGACGGCCGCCACCGCGCATAACACGACCATGAGCCCGACGAGAACTGGCACGAGCCACGCGGCTTTGCGTCGTCTCAGGTGGTTCTCGACCAAGTAGAGCGTTGCAATGCTCAGCACCACCGACAATACCACCATCGAGTACGGCTGCATGTAGGTTGGGCGCAGGTCCGGGCGGGGGTAGCGCAGCTTGGCGAACACCAGCAGCGGCCAGTGCCACAGGTACAGCGCGTAGCTGATTTGGCCAATGTAAACCATCAGCTTGTTGCCAAGAACGTACTGGTTGATGAAAGGAGCAGGGCCAGCGAAGACGACGCAGGCAGTGCCCACGGTGGGCAGAAGCGACCAAAAGCCAGGGAAGGCCACGGTTTCGTCGATTACTACGTAGCCCACGATGATAGCTACGAACCCGCACATTGAGCACACGGACGAAGCGAAGGGATGCGCGGCGAGCGCGGCGGACGAGTACTTGGACGGACCGGCGAGAGTCGGCAGCTCCAGGTATGCCAAGAGCCCGCCCACGGCCATCTGCCAGAACCGACTGAGTGGAAAGTAGAACGAGTACTTGTTGTCGTTGTTGTAGCCCAAGAAGAGGACATTGCACGCAAAGCTGGCCACCATCACAGCCACTTGGCACGCCACCGCCTTGCGGAACGACAGCCGATGGACCACAGACACGAAGAGCGGCCAAAAGATGTAAAACTGCTCCTCCACACCCAGAGACCACAGGTGCAGCAGCGGATTCTCCTTGACACTCGCGTCAAAGTAGCCCTGTTGGACGGTCAGGAGCTGGATGTTGGCCCCAAAGAGAGTTCCGGCTACGAGCGTCGATGCCATGGACTGGACCGCCATGTCCAGCAGCCACACGCAGCCCATGACCAGTGAAAACGAGAGCACGAGCACCAGCGCGGGAAAGATGCGGCGGATGCGGCGCGAGTAAAAGTCGGCGTATGTGAATGACCCCCTCGCGTTTTCCTTGAAGAGAATGCTCGAGATAAGGTAGCCAGAAATGACGAAGAACACGTCGACGCCTATGAACCCACCCTTGATGGACTCTGGGTACGCGTGGAAGATCACCACGGGAACCACCGCCAACGTCCGCAGTCCGTCGATGTCGCCGCGGTACGTGATGTGGGGTTTGGGCGCCGCTGGTTCGTTGGTTGGTTCGACCAGTTCCAACATCGCGGTGGCTTCAACGTCGGTGGGAGAATCCTCTGGCTCGGTTTGCGACCGCATAGCGTCGACGGCGTCGAAGGACAGAACGTCGTGTGGTGCGTTGCCTGGCATGTGAAGTTCTATCGATGACACACTCTCCCCGGACTTGGCTCGATGGTACTCCATCGGAACGTAGACTGGAGCGTTGCCAATTGTACGATGACGGGGGTCCGTGGAGTCGTGGAGTTACCTTACGTTGGACAATAACTAACCGTCTATTTCTCGTACAGTGAACTTCGTATCGTGACACGTGGGTACCTGAGTATCTACAATTCCCCAATGAAAGGAAGTAATATGTACTACACTTGGGCCATCGACCGGACGGTGCCATATTTTGTTCCGACACGTGGACAACGCTACTAATGCTATAGCATTGATCCCGTCGGCCTGGTACGATTAGTGTACTAGCTAAGTTACCAGTACAATTGTACTACAAGTACGTCAAGTATGTACAGTGTAGTGCATACTGTACAGTACTCATACTCCAGTCCAGTGCTACGAGTGAATACCTCTCTGCAGGACTACTGTACTAAGGTAATGCATCAATTACTGTATGGACACTGTTTTTGGTCAAGTTTTGGCCATGACTTCAAATCCCAGGAGCTCGAGAACGATTATTTAATGTTGATACTGTACTGTAGCACCACTAGCGAATATAAAACATGACCATTTTTTTTACGTATCATTGAGCATGATTGGACTATATTTCAGGCCCTGGTCGGGGAAAAACCCTGGACGATTATTCAACCCTGAGCAGCTTATTATCCGGCTCAATTAATGCGAATTATGACTGGGGTATTTTCTCGTGTCCGGGGAAGTCCTCCCACGACAACGAAGTGACATGCAGCTTGATAATCGAAATGACTCGATGCGGATAATACGTGATATGGCACTATCATGAATACGTTGTACTACTCTGGTCCAAAATAGTTGTTAGGTAGTTTTTTCTATTGGCGGAATTTTTCTAAATATCACCAGTTTTGCGATGCGATTGGTGCATCAAAAAGCTCAAGATCACTGCTTTGATTCGGTAGTTTACAAGCTTTCTAGAGCATTTTGGCTGTCGAGATATTGGGCGCCAAAGTTGGCGTGTCAAATGAGCCTAGTAGAAACATCTCGAAACATAATCATTACACGATTGTTCATCGCCCCAACATTGCACCCTATATGACTCTACCCTCACTATGCATGCGTACCCCACCAACGTTCGTTGCGTCGAGCCTCGTCCCGTCGACGCGCCGCGAAGCGCAAGCACTCACCTCCGCTCCGATGAACGCCAAGTAGTGTACGAAACACTACTTGGCGTTTCATCGCAAGGCGTACTACCCCGTGGATCCATTGTTCGTGTTGCTGCCCAGTTCGGTTGCCACGCGCTAACTGTGTCGCGGATTTGGTCGCGCGGACTGCAGTCCGTCTAAGAGGGACGCATGTGTGCCGATGTCGCGTCGAGAATTCGTGGTTAACCTCTATGATGTGATATATTTATCGAATGTTGCGAATATAGAGTTTTAAGATTTTACTGCTTTAGGTAATTCTGACGCAAGCGAGAGCGAACGAACGAAGAAATTAAAGCAGCGATTCGTCAAGTACCCCAGGCGTCACGGCAGACCCTGAGGTCCATGGCCTTTAAGAGCAATATACCCAAGTCGACGATCATGCGACACATGAAAGAAGCGGCGAGGTTGAAGGCGCGATCAAGTTACGTCAAGCCCTATCTTACTCCAAGCAACCAACAAGAGCGTCTGCGTTTTGCCATGTCTTTTCTTCAGCCTCTGTCAGATGGGAGTTATTTTTTTTCAAATATGCACGAATATGTGCATATTGATGAAAAATGGTTCTATTTGACTAGGGTTAAAAGAAAATTCTATGTGTACGAGGACGAAGCTGTCGCAGCTCGATTTGTGAAGTCGAAACAGTTTATAACAAAAGTTATGTTCTTGGCGGCCATTGCCCACATACGGCACGATAGTGACGACTCCACAATAAGTCGATGCTAAAGTATACTTGGACATGGTTTTAAATACTGTTGTGCCTGCGATACAGTCAAAGTTCCCGCCGCAGACTGGTGTTATAATCCAACAAGATAATGCCAGCCCCCACAAGTGCTTGACAACAAGTATGCTGAAGTCGCGAAGTATCAACGGAATTGAAGTGAAGAATCAGCCGCCGAATAGTCCAGATTTTAATGTTTTAGACTTAGGATAATTTAACTCCATTCAAAGCCTGCAGTATCAAAAGTGCACTCGAACGATCGAGGATCATATTGATGCTGTAGAAACCTCGTTTTATGAGTTGCCTGTGGATACGGTGTCAAAAACTTTCATTACACTTCAAAAGGTGATGGAGAAATGCATCGACATACATGGAAGCAACGAATATAAGCTCCCTCATATGAAGAAGGACGCACTGATCTCAGACTTCACGTCCTTCAACGTTGAGTGTGATGCCTATACATACGAGAGTGCTTTGATCCACTTGAACTATCGACTGGGCGAGGAAGCGTCCATGGAGGCACAAGTGAATTCCCAAGAACAAGCTGTTGTGACAAATTAATAAAATGTCATTGTATTTTTGGCCTTGCATATACGTTTCTGGAGTTACATTCAAATATCAAGCTGTTTCGAATTGGTCTCTCATAATTTAATCAAGTCAAAATGAACCTAATAACTATTTTGGACCAGAGTAGTACTACAGAGAACCGAGTAGAAACTCGCGCACAGTGGTACAACCACAGTATATGGAATAAAGC